AATATCCCCTTGCACTACTTTATATTCTCATGTAGATGTGAAACAATGACTAGCGGAATGATACATGACCATAGAAGAATATCCCCTTGCACTACTCTACAATCTCATGTACATGTGAAACAATGACTAGCGGAATGACATCTCTGTACCTAAGCTAATATGAGTTATTGAATATATAGTGACTGACAAGACCAAGGTTATGTTAAAAATACATTAACAAATGGCGTGGCTAATTAGCACGGTTTACGTGCGTGTGCAGGTTCTGAGAATGAGACAATATCCCCTAATTTTTGACCCCCTTTTCAAAGTCCTTGACTTCTCCAGGTTAGCATTCACCCTGACATAACGAACCCATCATTACAAAACTGAACGAGCTAAACCTATTTATTGATTTATCTGTGACAGGCTACATCTTTCGTACCCGAGCTCAGCTGGTGGTCAAGGTCTACTGAACGTTGCGTAACTTGCGCGCGTGACCTATGAAGTAACTAACGTCTTCCTCATCACACCAGAAATGGTAATCAGATCGCGCGTCATATTATACATATTGGCCAAGTAGTTATTTGGAACTTCCTCAGGAGGACGGTGTGTTTAAAATAAATACTTACCACGAGAGGGGTCCTTATATATATATATACACATTTCATAACAGTTCAATGCTTCTCATCTAGAAAAATGTCAAACCTCACTTATTCAGAACTTAAGTATTGAAAACATATTTGTAATTATTCTCCATAAAATGGTTCTCTCTCAGATGCGAGTAGTAGCCCTTGAAAATGGAAACGCCGGGCTACAGTCGAGGTTATTTTATATGTTGTTTGTGTTATTCTTACACATGTAGGCTTATCATATCATCACTGCACGTCTTCATGAAACTTTTTAAGAACCTGTAAAGTTATTCGCTTTCGTTCCATGCATGTTAATCATCTCTCCTTATTGGAAGTGATAACCAGACGAAAAAATAATTTTTGTTTTTGTAATTACTACGAATCAGTGCGGTTGTAAATCAGTCCCAACATGCACCTGCTTGAAATCATAGCCAAACAGCCTAAAGGCAAACTTGCATATGACGAAAGCGTACAGACAGGTGTGTGTGTGTGGTGGGGG